AATCAATCTGGATGATCTGGTGAACTGGAAAGTGCCTTGTGACATGTGTCACAGTTAATGAGAATCCCGTTGTTGGATAGCACCACTTCTCAATCACAACATTCTGAGGAAAGAGATACTGATCAGATCAAGGAAGAGCAGGTCTTCTTGTAGATCAGGAAGAGGCAATTAGCAACAGAGGAGGAGAAACTTGGGTTACTAGGAGAAATCCTGTAGGTGAAATAACTTCTCTGATTAGTTCCCTTTATGTATCAGATAATGAAGTAGAAGAAAGACAAGATGACGAGGAAGAATATCTCACTGTCAGACATTAATGGTAAAAGCAATGATTTGATGAGCATGGGGGTTAGGATTACCACATTGGGAGAGGATTTCAGGGCGTCTGAAGACAGTGCTTTGAATAGGGAGCAAAACATCAGGACATGTATAGAAATGCTGAGGCCCTGAAGCAATGCATGAACACAGCCTTTAAGGAAATTAAAGCTAAGGTAGTAGAGCAGGGTGTTCAATGATTTCCAGGCCAAGGACCCCAAACTGATGGTGAGATGGAGCAGGACCCCCTAATTATAGATATTGTATGAAATAGTGTTCTATCAAACTGGTCCTATAGTCACGCTATTACAGATGGAGTAATGTAACTAAAGTAATCCCTCCCTGGGATTATTAAAGTATTTCTGATTCCTGGTTGATGGGACAGGTGTTGTGAATGAAACGGTGCCCAGCTTGAAAGAGCTCCTGTGTGTCTCTGAATGTGAGCATTGATGACTGAAAGACATCTTCTGCCTCCATTTATCTGTTTACTACAGTCTGTTGGATTCATGTTAACTTGAATTTAAAGACATTTCCATTAGTGGAAAAATTTTCAGGGGGGAATAAAAAAAAAAAGTCTAATCAACCAAAACTTTCGTGACCCCCAAGCAGTACCTCTGTGGACCCTCTAGGTCACAGACCCCCTGTTGAAGACCTCTGTAGTAGATTGTTTGCTCTGATGTGATGAGATGTGGAAGGCTGAGAGAGTTTAAAGCACTAGACCATCAAATACTATTCATTCCCTTGATAGTGGCAGATCAAGTCTCCCCGTGCCGTCTGATCATCTCTCTTCTACCATGAAACATACTAACCCTGAAACATCCTCTCTACTTTGAGCCCGAGCTGTACAAAGAGTACCACAAGGAAGCATTGGACCTTCATGCCCATAAAGGACGGATCAATCTACTGCCTACATCCCTCCAGGGACAGTTCCAGTCATGCCATCGACAAACTGGGATAGTAGACCTCCCTGCATCAACCTCCAACCTGACAGTTCCTTCATCAAGCAGAACATCTGGAGTTATTTCCAAGCCACCTGTGCACATGGAGTTCCCGACATTTGAGAGGGCAGAAGAGGTTTCTTATAAATGTCATCGACCAGTGTGAGACATTTCTAAAAGTAAGGCCCCATCTGATCCTGAATTATTGGGAACTTTAACAAATAAGGCTCTGCTCTGTACTGGTGGAGAGTGGTTAAAAACAAGATTTACAACGGGCTTGAATTTAAAAATGCCTTTTCTGCTGCCTTTCTACCTCCAGACGATCTGTCAGAGGTGGAAGAGAAGTTAAGCGACATGATCCAGTTGCCAGAGCAATGTCTCAGAGACTTTGCCTTTGAGTATCAAGCACTGTGTCTGAGATGGAAGCCAGACATCAGTGAGACGGAGCTAGTGAGGAGGATTTTAAACAACTGCAATCCAAAGATAGCAGGCTTTCTTTGTGGCACAGCACACTCTATGGATCAGCTAATTAAGGTGGGATCCCAGGTTAAAAAAGACTATGCTGCTGTTAAAATGGGGGAAAAGTGAATCAGCACAAAGCCAGAGGAAAAGGCCCAGCAAGACCTAAGGGGAATCCCAGAAAGCCAGTAGACTCTGTATCTGTTGTTCAGCGAGGCCCTGCATCCTCCCTCCTTCATGTTCCCATAGAGGTGTGTGACAGGATGTATACTGCTGTACTGGATACAGCCTGAACCTATGCCCTGATGAGAAATAGTGGAAAATAATCGCTCCAGAAGGGAAGGTTTTGAAGCCAGCTGACAACCAGAAGTATGCACTTGCCAATGGCAAAACCTATATCGCTTTGGGAAAGCAACATGGCATGGTCTTTAGAGACTTTTGTGGTGAAAGATAATAACCTTACCTTTCCCATCATCCTAGGTCATGACCTTTTGTCCAAAACCTCTGCCATTACCAAGCCAGGTGAGTACACCTATCGGTTAGCCCGAGGAGGGCTAACGTTAGCCC